TGTTCTGGCTTACATACAAATTTGACTTAAGGACAGACCTTGGGAATGGAACTCGTTCTTAAACTGGGGACTACCTGTACTAACAATCTGTGATGGATAAAGTACACCCACTCCAAACTGTAAATTCACCAAGTAGAATATGAAGCTGCACCTTTCTAATATATAGCCTGTTTTCAGCAGTTCATGAAAACCTCGTGAGGCTTCAGCAGTTCATCAGCTCAAGGGAGAACAACATTTCCACCATTTCTAGTAACAGGCAACCTGTTCTAAGTACGAATTCCAATTTACATATAAATTCAAGTTAAAGACAGACTTAAGAATGGAAATCATTCTTAACCCAGGGACTGCCTGTATTTGGAATATGAAAACACTTCACAGTTTGATTGGCCAAATTCCTACAGACAGAAAGGTGGGGTATAAACTGAACAACAGTATTATTTTTATCACTAGTAAATATATATATTACTTTGGAGTCCTTGGGGTTCTCTGAGCTTGGCTGTTTTCTTGCAAACGTTTCATTACCCAACTAGGTAACATCTTCAGGGCTAGAAGGGAGTGGGGTTTACTCTCTGTTTATATACAGTAGTTTGCCCTGTCAGTGTTGGTGGGGGTGTGGTTTTCTCCTTGGAAGTTCCTTGATTAGGCTGTTGTTTACTGCTTGTTTGTCTGGTGTTAATCCTGGCATTAATCTCTGCTTATCTGGGTCCTGATTGCTGGCAAGGAGATGTTCTGGTCTTTTTGTTTCCTTTTTATTGTCTATTTTGAATAGTGTGTAGATGTTGTTAACTCTATGTGCCTGTTGATGGCTGACTTATCTGAATACCAAGCTTCCAGGAATTCCCTTGCATTTTTGGATTTGGCTTGGTCTAAGATGCTGACAGTTTCCCAGCTGAAACTGTGGCTAATTCTGTCCACGTGTTGGGAGATTCAGGAGTTTTCATCATGTCTTCTGACTGCTAGTTGGTGTTCAAGGATGCCACAGGCAGAAGGCTAGCAGAGCGCATCCATGAACACCAACTAGCAGTCAGAAGACACAATGAAAACTCCTGAATCTCAGAACACATGGATTCTGTCAGCATTTTTACAGAGATTAATGCCAGGATTAACACCAGACAAACAATCAAGCAGTAAGAATACACAATGAAAACTCCTGAATCTCAGAACACATGGATTCTGTCAGCATTTTTACAGAGATTAATGCCAGGATTAACACCAGACAAACAATCAAGCAGTAAACAATACCCTAATCAAGGAACTACCAAGGAAAAATCCACACACACACACACACACACACACACACCCC